AATTTGCGATTTTTGATTTAAAAAAATTCGAAGGTTTTGAAAATAAAAATTCAGGGTATTACATAAACTCTATAAACTGACTTTTTTTGAAATAAACAATATGTACGCAACTTTTTCGATGAAACGCAAATTTAACACTCCTTCCATTTCAGAAAGAAGGATGTTTTTACTAAAATTTTGATTTTTTTCTGTCATGTTCTTTTTTTTTGCTCATTTCTTTGTACACACTCCCGAAGGACATTGTGTGAATTAAAGTTCTTTATCAAACACAAGGACATTGTGTGAATTAAAGTTCTTTATCATGAACACAAATTAATTGTGTGTCTATATAAATAAATCGGAAGGAGTATTAATTTTGTTATTAATATTTAATTAATGATAATATAGTAATTTGATTATTATATTTATTGATAATGAAGCGTATTAAATAAAAGTAAAATAGTGCACTGCATATATTATTCACTTTTACAAAATAAATAAATATGATAATTTAGGATAAATTAAAAAAGAAGTAGAAAAATTATAGGACGAGAAAGTATTAATTTTAAATTAACACGGTGTCCTTATAACTTTGGATAATAATCACAGATAAGGCACGCGCATAGGAAAGCGAGTAGCAATCATATGCTAATTCAAAGAACCAAAGCACTTAGTTGGCGGAGACCTGTGCCATGCAGTACCATGCACCCACGCACTGCATAGAAAATCGAACAGAAAGAGCGCGTGAATTCAATAGTAGCAAGGTGACATTTTATCCCATGCATACAGTACCGTTCTAATGTATTCTACTTACCCAATAATCACTCGCCACATCATCACAGTATTGCGTAGTAGTGATGTATTGGATGTAAAATCTTCAGGGATAGTAGTAGTGTTTGTACAATAGTAAATCACAGTAGCATAGCACGCAGGAAGGAAGAAAGGAGGCAAATGAAACCCTAATAATAAGTGGGGCTAAGCTTGAAAAAGAAGGGAATTTGACCAAACATTTACACCACAAACAGACAAAGCTTGTATTAAAAGCTGCTTAAACATGCTTTTAATATTAGTATTAAAGTAAGCTTTATATATGCCTTTCTATTTATTTTTTCATTAAAAAAAAAAAAGATTACTAACCGTATTAATCACTTTTCCGATCAAGTGTTGATGTAGGGCAGACTCCGAACAGTGATGTGAGACGCTGCCTCATTCCTGAGATTGAAACGTTTCAGTTCTCAGCAGTTCTCAACATCATACATAATGGTATACTATCATAGAGGATCGAACCTAAATCAAATAGGCGGATGATTAACATCTTTGCGATCAGGCGGCCACCTCGAATAGTTTTCTAACTTATGGTCAAGTTTTCATAAGCCTATTGTAAAAGTTAACAATAAAAGTTAAGTAGGAATATTAGAGCGATTTTTCAATAAATTTCATATTTCATAATTTAATAAATATTTTTTTTAATTTTTATGAAAAAAGTGAGAGTATTGAATATAATTATTTTTAAAAGTAAGAATAAAATTATTTAATTAAAAATAAAATTCTATAAAATAAAACAAAATGAAAACTTATTGAATAAATTATAATGATAATTTTTATTAACAATACAAAAGTTGAATGAGGAGTGATGTAATAATTGAAAGAAAATGTAAATCATTATAAATTACTAAATTAAAAAGAAAATGTTACATTTTTTTACTCAAGTAGATGATCACTATACTATCCGCAGCATATACTATTAAGTAAACCAAATAAGGCATGTTGTTTTAGCATTGTAACTAATGTTCTTTATTTGTTTTCTTCGTTATTCTTTTATTTTTCTTATTTTCATTCTCATACATTAATAAATTGTTGATCGAGTTTGTTTGACAAAATTAGCTGTAGCCGTAGTTTTTCGATTAATTTTTTATAAAATGCTAAAAGTTAAATATTATATGGATTAACCTTTCATAAAACGTTACCTTAACCTCTAAAAATTAGTTCATATATTATGTTACTAAACAGTAAAGAATAGTGTTTAGCGCTTTCAACAAAGTGTAAAATTATTGTGATTTAAAGAAATTGAAAGATGAATAGCTACACTTCTAATGGTCTTATGTTAGGTTAAGAATTATAATTTTAGAGTTAGGAAATTTCATATTGGTATTAAGTATATGTCGGACCACCAACTATAAAAGCTTGAGGAGAATACCAAAGTTGTTAAGAAAACAGAAGGGTTAAATTTAAATACTAATGTTGGTTTGGTTATTGGCAAACAAGAACGAGACTTTATAAGCTTATTTTAGGCAATTGATAGAAGAAAAAGAGAGAAAGATTCAGAAATTACTATTCATGTAATGTATCCTCTCATGGGATGTAATATAAGAAATTTTAGGGTGTTTCCTATTCTGATTGAAGAGATAAATGCCGAGTAAGAATTCCGGTCATAAATATCGAACGAGAATCTTGGACATTAATTATAAGATTGAATGAATCATTGACCGAGTGTTATTAATTTTATAACGGTTTGAGTAATGTTGGATGAATTCTTAATAAATATTCCTATATGTACTTATTGGGTTAAAGTTGGTTTAATCTTGATTTCATAAAGATTCCGATAGAGTATAGAGTGTGAGAAGCTTTTATATGTGGCCTTTCTTGTAGTATTAGATAATAAGGCTTTAGTGTCCCTGTTGGACTCTAATTATAGCCATCAATGAGCGGTTTGATTTGAATTAAACTGCATCTTATGCTCGCTTCTAATGGAAATACTAAAATACATGAGTAAATTTAAAGAAATTAATACATCTTTAATTTTTTTCAAATGACAAGAAAAGAAAAAATTTTCTGAAAATTAGAGTTTTTAAGCAAGCTGAAAGATTGGATTCTGAAAAGGGCATTGAAGCAGAACAATTTTGGCTCCTCATGAGTCATCTTTGTCCTTTGTGCGGCTGGACAGTTGAAACGAAAAACTGGGAGGATTTTCATTAACAAGGGCCCAAGCTGAAAGATAGCCCAAAGAATAAAAAAAATGCGTTTGCCGGGAGTCGAACCCGGGTCTATTGCTTGGAAGGCAATTATCCTAACCGTTGGACTACAAACGCCTGTTATGCAGCTGGGCCATAATTTTTCTCTAATAATAAGTTTGGAACCCAATTATATAGATAATATTAAATTATTTATTTCAATGATGCACCGTATATTCTGTATGAGTAAATTAGTGATTTTTCCTTACTAGTTTGAAATACATTAATTGGGAAGAAACATATACATTAGCTAGGAACCAGAACATCTTTTACATGTATATATTATAAAGGACACCCAGGACAAAATACAACACGTGAATTAAATGACAACTCTACCCTTGATCAAACAAGGACAGCAGTTAAACCTTAATCGTAAACTAGTTTAAATTGGCTATGAATAATTTATCTCCATTTTACTCTATTCATAATGTGAAGAGACAAAAAGATCTTTTGATCAAAGCTAAAAACGCCATATCAGATATAACAAAGGTAACACACACAGCACTTTTTTTTATTCGCAAACAAAAAAAAAGTAAGAAATTACTTATTTATAAAAAAATCAGATTGGTGATATTGATTTCTTACTTATAAATATATTTTATTATTAATATTTTAATTAAATTAGAAATCTTAATATTTTCATTTTATTTTAGTTTCTTAATATTAATTAGTAGATTATCTTATTACATAAATAGTTAATTATTTTATATTTATTTAAGTCACTAAAAAATCTTAAAACTGTTCAAATAAAACTATTGATAAAATAATAAAATAATGAATGATAAATTATCATTTTATTATAGATTATGTGTGTATATATATGTTTCAATTCTTATAAAAATTCAACATAAAAAATTTTATTTTTATTATTATTTTACTTCAAAAACTTTTCTCCTTTTATCGTTTTACTTCTCTTCTTAATCTTAAAGATATTATTTTGCTTGCGTCATTATTATTTTTACTTTTACATTTTATTTCAATCATAGAGTTTTATTTTTGCATTCCAAATCAATAATGTTATTTACCATATTCATTCATTTCGTTTACATACAAATTATTATTTTTACAATAAAATATTAAATAAAAAACCTAATGTATTTATCTTTTTTCTCAATAATTTATTGTCATTTTATTATATAATAAAAAAACCAATCAAACATATTTAGAAATAAAAAAAAAAAAAAAAAGGAATCCTACGTTGAAAAATACTAACTAATATGTTATAAGTGTGCGAGCCTTCTGCAACCTAGAGGTCGTTTTAAGGATGAGAGATATCAATCTCTGACTTTGGATCCTCATTGCGTAATGCAATGTGTACGAGACAAACATAAACATAATTCCATATAGTTAGACTTAGACAGACCCATCACCCAGTCTGGAATCAGACCAACCAAGCCGGAAAACACGACCTGGCCCTACAGTTCCGAGCCAGCCCAAAACTATGGGACCACAATTTGCTCTCAGTTTATGCCAGAAAAGAATTGGTCTGGTCCAATTCCAAACCTTCAGCAAAATTCTCTTTTTCAGCTCTTAAAACATTTTTTTTTTGGCATTACTAAGGGTGTCATCCCACCTATATGATTCGATCTTGAGATCACCAGGTGGGATCTAGTGCGCTTTCACTACTAGACTAAGCTAGCTTTAAAGATTTATTAATTACAAAGTAACAAAGTTTCAAATTAAAAAAAAAAAAAAAAACTTTGAAAAAACCAAAATCAGCCTGAGACCTTAATGGACCGGCTCTGAGCTAGGGCCGAGACCCTATCTCAGGTCCCACAGAAAACAAACATGAACCAATGGAGGACAAGAAAAGATGTAATGAGTTTAAAAGTATCATAGAAAACTTCAAGTCAGTCGTGAAATCAGTAAGGGACTGACCTCAGTATATCTTGTACAGGCTTGGCCAAGGTTCCTTCGCAGCTGCTCTCAAGAGTGCTTTTTCAGATCAGCACAAGTACAGACTTAAACTGTTGTCCACAAAAAATAAACTAAACAGCTAAAAATTGGAACTTCCACAACAAAATTTTGATTCTTTATACCACTTGAATGAGAATTTACACCTATATTCTGAAAAAGCACCATATGCTGCCACGGCTAGGCAACTCATGCTGTGAAAATATCAAGTCAATCAAAAGGCTTCTTTATCATTAGTACTGACTCTATAAGTGAACAAAGGCATAAAGTCTCATATTTACAATGGAAAGAAACATTCATGTTAGAATCTACAGGCACCAGGATGCCGTCTCTGAAAATAAATTCCAGTTGAAGACCCAAATGTGAATTTGAGGAGTTACTTCCTTTTGCAGTTACAGATCCATCCATACAGTGGCAACTACATTCCAATGCCATAACTAAAGTATTTCCTGGACTCCTGCAATGACAATTATGCAATTCTGAATGTTCAGATAATATTTCAGGACTTCCAAATCTCAGGTTTTCATCCAATGAATTGCTTATATTTTTAGTCTTATCAACTTTTCTGATGGCTGAAAGAAGATCTACAGAGAATGATGAAACAACATCATGAACATCCTCAGCTGTCCAATAGCTTTTGTTCAATCCCCATTCATGTACAAGGATTTTCTGAATCAGTTCATGGAGGGTGCATAGGCATCCAGAGCAACAACTATAGGAACAAACAATCCCAGAATCAACTGAATGACCGCTAGTTTTGCCTGGAACGAAGTTGATATCTCCAATTTGCACACTACAGCTAGGCTGAGCATCCTCACTTCTAATTCCACCCTCAGCCAGTCCATTAATCTGGCCGCAGGATTCCACGGGATCAGAGATCTTGTCAGAACATGGTCTGCTTGAATTACAGAGACCATCCTTAGAAGGTAGAATGGCTTCTGTGCCCATGAATCCATCAGAATATTTTGAGGACTTATTGTCCAATTCAGTGGCCACTGCAAGATTTTCAGTATTTTTTGGCTTACACTGTCCTAGAGTAGTCATGTTCTGCTCATCCATAACATCATCAATCAAATGGCTATCAGTTGTAGAACTTTGAAGATGCTCATCAGATTTGGTATGACCACTGACGACAATTTGCTGTGCGAGCATATCTTCTGAAGGCACCTCTCTCACCTCAGAACTTGAAGAAGGAAGAAAACCATTGTCTCCTTTATTTGATTCAACACTTTCAGGGATAAATTCCGCAGCACTTCTTTCCAGGCGTTCAGATTTATGGGAGCTTTTATCAGGTATAACCGCCTTGCAGTCCTCACTTTGCACTGAATTATCTAAACAATTTTGATTACCTGGAAATTCTATCGTATTTTGCCCAGCATTTGAAATTGGCATTTGAGTACTGAGTTCTAAACTGAAATGAAATAAAACATAGTTAGTGCACAATGTGCAAAAGAAACGAAGCTACAAGCATATAAAGAATAATAACAAATAGTACCTCTGCAATGCATGCGCCCAGCTATTAACTACATCTTCCAAATATGCAACTTGTGATAATAGACGAACATATTGGTATTTATCTTTCCCAGCCTGAATCTTTTCATTAACTTGTTGAACTAGAAGCTCAAGAACTTTCCTCACCTCAAAGGCAACTTCTCTAAGTGATTTGTACACACCTCTGTATGCTGATAAACCAACAGCAATTAAACCTCTGACCATGCCAAATCTCTCTTTGCTTTTAACATTCCCTGAACAACTAGCAGCAATCACACTATCAATATTACCAGGCCGGATAATGCAAGAATTGAAAGGCCATCCCTTCCAAGGTCCAGCAACATCTGCGCAAGGACCTTCATTGAGTTTTGATGTGACCCAACAAAGTTCAGCAAAATGAGGATATCGAAGAATTTGATAACCAAATGTAGATATAGCTAATAGCAAGCTTGATTTTCCTTTTAAACTTCTATTATTAGGTGGAGGTATAACTTTTGAATGATCACAAGGAAATTCTTCTCTACACTCACTTTCACCAGCTGAGCCATGTCTTTTATTGTGATTATCTGTATCACATCCTTGAATAGAATCACAAAATTTGTACTCTTTGGATGTAATAGTATGAATATGCAATCTTTGATGAACTGACAGAACAAAGAGTTGTATCATATCCCTCAATAACTTCGCTGCAGAAAGACTGACCACTACATCACGGTTGAAATTCCCACCAACATGAACCAAGAATCGGGGTATTGAGTGCTCCAATGGAGTCAGCTGACCACTGTTTGAGATATCATTCTTAAAGAATTGCCTTATTTCATTTGGGAGTTCCTGATATGGAAGTTCTGAAGTAGCCTGACAGCATACAAGGTATGTAAAAAATCATTAGTAGCAGGAAATGATAGACTGGAAGACCATATTACTAGCATAATGTAATGCATCCTTCGCACACACCATAGGTAGTCAATTGTAGATCGATCAATCAATCAATCACATTATACAAAACAATTTTTCAAATGAAGATGACAATTGTGTTACTGTAACAATAAGATTGCTTATAATCCATTTCTCATAATTGTGATTTTATTGTTCAGGTTCTAGTTTTCTTTTGTATTTCAAGTGTTCCGAGCAGCTTTAGATTCCAGTCTTAGTAAACCCCTCCAAGCATACCTAGGAATTTTTTATTCTCCGGTGGTCTCCAAAATCATTTTCTTTTTGATTGAAGAATGTTTAAGTTGTCTAAATTATAGCCTTGGTTTCGCGCTTCCATCCTGCATCAGACAATGTAGATGAAATAGTCGCAATAGTAACCAAATCAAGCCAATCCTCAACATACAACTTGTATGTTGAAATTATTGAATGACTGGACAGAATTGCAGAAACCTTTGCTTAGATATACTAACCTATCCAACAAAGACAATCTTTTATTTAGGCCAAATGGAAGGTGCCAATCTGCTATTCATGTTTCTATGTTTTATTATGCTAAGGTCATTTCAACTATTTTCTATCTTTGATTGCGTTGGGTTTCACACACTACTGAGACTTAAAATTAGGTCTTGTTATTTTGCAACAAGCTTCTTACAGGCTTCATAGATTTTAGGTTCCAATTCCTTATTCCTAAAATATAGGAATCATATGCTATCTAGTAATGCTCATTTTCAACAGTTAGTTCAATATAATCAAACAGTTGTATGAGTATTCAAGGAGGTTCGATGAGCATTACTAGATAGCATGTGATTTTCTAGGATCTTTACCTCTAATCCATTGAACCTTTCCTAAAAGTTGTTTTTAGTGTTCACTGCACAAGGTTTTCTTTCAAGGTAATCAGTTGGCAACTTTGAAACTTTTTGTTCTTGCAATATATCTAGCCCTTCCCAGCCAATTAATTTATCAATCAGACCTGACAGACAGTCAAAAATCGCTGTCAGAAAACTCCAACAATCAGAACTTCCTTCTCCTTGATCTCAACATAACCAACTCTAATCAATACCACAAACCCTTCCCTTTTCAAATTTAGCCCTCATTTTGACGCATAGCTGCCTCAAGATCATGTGTCAGACCCTATTATTCCAGCTACAGAAAGTCATTCTAATGCCCTCAAACATTGATTACAATCAGCCACAATGCAATCACAAAACAAGTATCCCTTTCTCTTTGATAATAAACTCTTTATTTATAAATATGAAGCCCAAATCATGGCAACTTACAAAGGCAGGTTGTTCAAAGCAATCCAACATCACAACATTTTCAGAGGTTGTAGCATCAGAGGTAGAATTCAGACCAAGGAACTGAAAATCAAGGACTAGATAAGCTAGGCTCTCGATAGTTGAGTAATAATCAAATCACAATCCAAATGCCAATTTCCAAATAAACAAATAACACAACAATGACACTGTTGAAAATGAGCTGAGCTGAAGATGGTTTCCCTATCATAATCCAAACTTTTGCGGGTGATGCCGAGTTGAATGTGTAGCATCCTCAAACTAATCTTTTATAATAGCAAAAGATTAAACATGGTTCGTACGTGATATTAAGTTTTAATTTGTCCCAACAGTATTAGCATTAATCAGTGCTCAAGCAGTTTTATTTGGGGGCTATCTAGTTAGATTAGTCATATGTGAGCAACACCTTTAACCATCACGAAAAACATATGGCAGTTATCAACTACAGAATCCACTTACCAGAATTATCAAGGATGTGGATACACATATAGTCTCCACCTGCTCAATAAATGAGCTCCACGCATGTGATGCTCTTAGGATGGTAGTTTGTGACTCTGACACTTCAGATGCTCCGCATTGATCAATAACAGACTTTTTTCCCTCAACATGAATGGGTGTGGAACAAAATTCTGTTTTTTCAGAAAGTTGATGGTCAGTTGAAGAAGCATCACTCTCCTTAATGACTTGCTGGCATGCCTCCACAGCCCATAGATCAATTCTCGGCATGAAAATCATAGATGACTTCAAGCTAGCACATTTCACTGCCAGAGTGACAGATTGATGTGAGGACTCGTACATGCTTTCTCATTCAAGAATATGTAGCAAATTTGTGTTTAAGCTTATGGAGGTCATGTTCCAACAGAAATTGTCAACACCTTCAACGCCATGAAGGCTTTAAAATAATTATATAATAATAACAATAGTAACAGTAATAATAACTTACATATTTGAAACTTATAGCAGTGAGGAACAAATTGTTTATTTATTTCTTTCTTTTGGGCACAAGTAGCAGCAGTTACCCATCAATCTAATTTTCTTAGCATTTATAAATTAATTATATGGCGTTACAATTCCAAAATTACAAGGTCTTCAAACGATACAAAAACAAAACGTTTTCAATTCAACAAATATCAACTCAGATTTCAATAGATACTACAACTCTCTAAGTACGTCTAACCTTAATTGCCAAACCAAAGGGATCCTAAGGTGCAAAGGATGTTATATATGTCGTCAATCGAGATTGACCAAAAAATTTAGTATGAATAAAACTGAAAAGACCTTAACCATATTTGAATAGATAAAAAGAATTCACACCTTGATTGAGAACACAGCAACAGGAAACCAATTCATAAAAATGAAGTAATAAAAAAACTAGAAACCATGAATGTTCGAAGTGGCTTGAGGGGAAGAGAGATGAAAAAGAAGGGCATACTCAGTATCTGTGTAATCCCTTGGACCATATCATCATGCCCTTCCTGTGAAATTGTAGCCAGATCAACCTTTTGAACTTCAACATTCCCGACATAGAAGTGTAGTATGCAAGATGCCAGTTGCTTCTGTCCAGATCTGGGGCCTCCAGCAATCAATACACGGTACCCTGATTTCCTTACTGATGCAAAAGATACAATTCTAGACGTGCTACGGCTCGTGCCCCAATGCTGCATCATTGAAGGTTCAAACATTACTTTATCGTCGTCCTTCTCATCAGCAAAAACATCAGTATCAGCACCAGCACAGCTAGCCTCTCCAATTAATACACCAGCAGATGAAAGCCTTCCCTGCACTTGCTTAGCAATTTCTGCTTCTTCAAGAAAATTATCAACATGGCACCACCACCGATCACTTGGGAGGTTCCTCTTCTTTAAGAAAGAAACTATCACAGTTTTAACCATCAAAGCAGCTTTAAAAAGTGGAGGAGGCAGCCAGAGGCGTTCATCAAGATAGAGGGTAACAAGCAACTTTGATAATGGCTGCAGTAAACAAGGAATGAGGTGACCAGGAAGAGGAGATGAAACCAAATCATAAGCAGCAATACCTGCTTCTCTACGAGAGCAGGGAGGCGGGGCGCATGCTAAAGCCTCTAACCAATCCCCATCTTCCACTTCAAAAGCTGGAAGAGGAATGCGTTTAGTACCAGGAGCTCTCTCTCCAGCAGCAGATAAAATTTCTTGCAAAGGGAAATTCCTCTTCAGTGCAATAATGGCAGCTTGAGTACAGAGAGCTTGTAAATCAGCACCAGCAAAGCCGACAGTTCTTCTTGCAACCCACTGTAGCAAAGATCCTGCAACTGGTTTTGGCCACCTTTGCGTGTGAAGTAAGAGTATGGCAGCCCTGTCTTCAACTGATGGCAGTGGAAAATAGATCTCCCTGTCAAATCGCCCAGGCCTACGTAATGCTGGATCAACAGCCTCAGGTCGGTTTGTTGCACCTATCACCACTACTGAACCTCGGGATTTTAAACCATCCATTAAAGCAAGCAATGTGGAGACAACTGAACTGTGAGTCTGATCTTGCTGCCTCGTTCGAGAAGGTGCCAAACCATCAATCTCATCAAAGAATATTATAGAAGGTTGACATCGCTCAGCAACCTGAAACAAGAGTCTTAGCTGGCGCTCAGCATCGCCAACATACTTTCCCAAGCAGTCTGCACCTTTACGAGCAAAATATGCAATTCTTTTATCCCCACGAGAACATGAACCAATCAATGCCCGTACAACAAGTGTTTTACCTGTTCCAGGATATCCATGCAAAAGAACACCCCTAGGAGGTGTAATCCCTAGATTATTAAAGAACTCGGGATATAACAGTGGTAAAATAACTACTTCCTTCATACATTGTATCACATCCTTAAGTCCAGCAACAGATTCCCATCCCTCAAACAGTTTTGCGCTGTCAGACCCCCCAGAGCCTCCAATATACACTGGTGCAATTCTCAACAAATCTCTGTGAAGCCTCTTGCTCTCACGTTTCAGAAACTCTTCATCCTCCCCACAGTTTTCCAACCATTTTTCTTCAGCTTCAATATCCTTTCGCCAAGCATCATTTGAACGCTTCCTTATTTCCAACCTCATTTTCCTGGCTTTCAATTTCTTTATCCGAATTGCGTACTGATTACCATGAGGTTGGAAGAGATGCCGGTGATCTGTGCATGCTATAAGAAATTTTCGATGATCAAAGATGCAGCTATTAGCTCGGGCACAAGGCTGCAAAAGACAGAAGAAAGAAAGAAAAACAAAATCAAGGTAAATCCTATGATGGCTCTCTTTTGCTCAAACAAAAGATTGTAACAGAAAATTGCATTGCTCAACAAATTTAAATAACAAACCAAGTGGTAAGTTTTTGGACACCGATCAACACGACATCCAATAGTTGCCCCTGGTCTTCCGCAGCGTGTGCATTTTAATGCTCTTCCTCTGCAAAGTGCAGCCCTTACATTTTTTAAGCAACCCAAACCAGCAAAATACACCTGCAGAAAAAGAAAGCACATGGGGATTGAATGAAACAAGATATAATTAAACAGAAAAAACTCTAAGATTCTTCTAGCAAAATAATATGGTAAAAGAGAATATTTATTGCGCAGATATACAAATGAAAGATGTTAAGCATAAACAGTGAAGGTTGTTGCTTACTTCCTAGAAATATGTTTCCATCATAAGGCAAGTCTAGAGATGGTATAATTTTGAGCCCTGATAATCTTTTTGAACAGATAAAATCAGTTAATTCAAGCCAAGAATTATTCATGAAAACCTAGACCAAAAACACAAAGTAAAGCTATTTCATCAAATAAGTTCCACTCTGCATTACATAAAAGACACAGCAGGATCATAAGACAGCAAAGAACTTAACCAATACTGTTAATTTTGTTCCTAAAGAAAAGCTAGCAAATGCTCATGGCATAAAGTTTTTTGATCATCCTGCATTCCAATATCATCTCAAAAGAGTCCAAGAAAGAACTGTAGAAGCAAAGGGGAGAAAGAAAAACATAATAAGACTTGCACTACAATTAAGTAGATTGTTAGTTCCCTGCCTTTCTCTGCCCACGTCCCCCCTTCCGCAACCCTCGAGCACAGGTAAAAGAAAAAAATGAATGAAACTTAAAGCCTCAGTGTTCGTGCTTACTGAACTATTAATTTATGAAAGGGAAGGCAAACTAACAACAAGGAAATAACAGGCCAGGCTAAGGAGGTTTCTTACTGAACTAGCACAGCATCCAATAAATGGTCTCAATTTAAACATATAAGGAAAAAGAATGGGCCCATAATTTCTATAGACACATAATTTTAAGCCAAAACTGCTATATCTTCTTATTGAAAGTTAAAAAGTCTAGAATTTCAATACTGATTTTAATGACAGAGACTTTTGGAGTCCATCTCCGGTTAGTATTTTTATCCATAAACAAAATAAAATGCAAACCTTACCATGTAGTTCGACCTTCACTACAAAATTATAATTTGCCATTATCTCTAACAAGTGCCAAATAAGTTTACTATCACAGGGGGGAAATCAGTCCACAAGTTTCCACAGCTTCTAATCTGATTTACCAAATGTAGTAGTCTACGTATTTTTTTTCAACTGCAAATCAACACATCTTAAATTTTGAATCAATCTTCATAGAGTAAAAATGTAAACTTGAAGCCTATTACCATTTCTTCACCAATCTAGCTCCACAATGTGAATTCAATACACTTCTAATTGTAAATTGCATTGCTAAATCACCAAGTGATCAAGCCCTGCTCTTTTATTGATGGACTACAAAATATTACCACATACATGTTCAAACTGAACAAACAAGTGATCTTGAAAATGACATGTTCGATCCATGCATAACTTCATTCTGAAGATAAAACCTTTAGGAAACACAAGGAAATATTATTAAATGAATCAATTTATTAATACTGATAGCATTCATCCTGAGGAAATCTACACTTTTAACAAAACAAGCTTTGGGATAGTACTGCCAGTATAACATCAAGTGTAAATGTAATTGTCAACATAGATACAAGGAAACACATTTTTTTTTCATAATAACTATTAAATGTTATTCTAAGTAGAATCTCTAAGACTGTTCAAAGAAGACCAAAGGCGTTGAACAGAATAACATCTATGGCACATTGGTGCAGAATCAAGAAATATCTTATAGCAGTACTGCATCAACAATTTTTTTGCTTGGCCATATATCAACAACCTAGTACACGCATCAACACCAACTCTGAGTAGACACACTACTAAATTCTAAAACAAACAATAAACAAGGAAATAATGAAAATTGAAAGCTCAGCACTTCAAATAACGAGTATAAGTAAATATTGACAGTTCACCAAGTGAAGCAGGAGAAATAAATAATAGACAAACAAAATTCAGTTAAAAACCACACCTCTGGGCTCCATACAGCACAGTGTTGATGAACCCAGATTCCAGCAATACCATGTCGGTCATTTATCGGGCCCAATAGGCGACCAAGCCACCCAGGTTCATCACCAAATCCATCCCATACATCATAGTTGGGATCCTCTGAAGCTGATGAACCACTGTATGTCTCATTTTCGCTTTCACCAGCATCTTGCATCAACCTCTTTGGTGGTTTACCATCATTACCACATCCACACAAACCACACCTTCTCCCTTGTTTAATCCGTGGCCTAGCAAGAGTATGCAAATCATGCTTCAATTTGGCAGGCTTCTCATCTTTTTCAACCTCCAAGGGAAATTCATTAACCTCAGCACCTCCTTCCTTAACAGGATCCTTCAACTCTTCCATAGGAGGCCCAATAACTTCAATAACATCTGTTTCATTTTCCACGTCCATCCCATCCTCCAACTCCTTGATTTTGTCATTCTGCTCCACATTATCATTTCCATCAGGGCTTTTCTCCAGCTCCAAGTCAAGCAATTTCTCTTTTTGCTCTGGTTCATTTAACCCTGACGATACAGCATCACCATTCACTGCCTCTCCCTCATTTCCACCGCCCATTGCATCAACTAAAACCGGCATATGCTCATCAGCCTCATTTCCCACTGCCTCCCGGCCATTACCACCACCTATTTCACTATCTAAAACTGTCATACCCTTATTGGGCTCATTCCCCTCCACTTCCATCTCATCCTTTTCACTCTCATTTTTCCCTATTGACTCCTGACCTTCATCTTTCTCACTCACATCTTCATGCCCACTTGTTCCACCCTCGTTCATTTCATTTGGCAAACCATTTACAGCCTTAACCCTCCCCAGCCTCTTAGACCTCACAACCATCAACTTCTCACCATCCAAATCTCCTTTCTTCTGAGCCAATTCACCTCCCACCGTATCCATTTCATCAAAAAGCTTTCTTCTCCCACTTGTCTCACCTCTCTCTCCAGTCGCCACATTCCTACCCCTCGATCTCAAACGCGACCTCCAATTGCCCGGTGTATCCAAATCCTCTAATTTCTCACTCTCCTCTTCCTTCACACTCTTGAAACTACTTCCACCGTTTCTGTTAACACCCGAAGCTACATTCTTACCAATCTTCTTTCTTTTTTTAACCGGAGGAGGTGACACATCGAGCACAACAGGTGCCCGGCGAACTCTTGAGCTCCGGCGAAGGTCCGACTGGGCATCCAGGGCAGGCCCAGACGGGGACCCCCCTCTCCGCTCATTGGATTCACTATGGTTTTGATTATAGACATTTTCGCATATGGCATCAAGTCTTTTGTGCTTCTTTCGAAGCCTACTACCCGTCGAGCTAAAGTCCCTTGGCTTCGGCGAAGAAACCGAAGCCGATTTCAATTGCATGACCTGAGCAATATCACACCTGCAACTGATAACTTTTTCTATAAATTTAATGTACTTTACATAGATCTTCTTGTTTGATCAATTGTGCGTTAGACTACCAAGGAACCAGGGGAAAAATCATTAAGACTGAGACGCAACTCGGTGAAGTTACCGGGTTGGATCAGTCCGGCTCGTGAATGCAATTGCAAATTTGAACTTACAATCGAAACAAACCCTAGACATCCATTTTTGGCTGAGAGCTCTTCATTGGGTTCCGTGATGATTTTGGGAAAATTAAGAAATTTCTCTGCGAAAGAGGAGACTCTAATATCTGATAGACATCACCACGCGCGCGATTAAATTAAGTGACGGCACGCGATTAAACCATCAATGCAACATAAATTTGTTTTATAAGGAATTTGGCGACTGAATTTCAGAAAAGATAAGCATGAAGCTAAATCTCTTTCTCAAAAAAAAAAAAAAAAATGAAGCTAAATCTTTCTCAGTTTCAATAACTTTCATCGGTTTATTATTAATTATTCATTTCCTAATTAAACACAATCCACAATTTTCTAAATCAATCTTTATCATTTTTTAATTAAAAAATGTTTTATTTTATTTAAAGTTTTTATAATCAAAAGCGACATTTGTGCTATTTTTAACACTGAAATTGATTTTAATTTGTAAATAACAAAATTTTTGTTTCCAAATAATTTTAGTTTACTTTTAAATTAGAATTTATGATTTAAATTATAAATGTATGTGCGCCTTGTTGAAAAATCTCTTGGACACAGAGAGTAAAAACAGATAGAGACGGTTTTATGAAAACTTAGGTCATCTTCTGTGAAATTAACTATTGTAAATGAATTTTGATAATCAATTTCATGGATTCACGGAGTAATGTTTCATAATCAATTTCTCTCAAACTCTAAAACAATACATTAGTAAATACAGGATTAGTTTACCTAAACTGAATTCATGGTATATTCATGGATCAAATCAATGAATATAAATTTTGATAGAAAGTAAGTAATTTTGATTAAAAATTACCTAGGTCGGATCCATGGTTCACCTATGTATCAAATAAATGAAAATAAGAAATTTTTATAAATTATTACTATTTTATCATTTTTTTTTCTAATGTATAATTAGAAATACTCCCGTTTTAATAAAAATTTTATTTTTATTAGTTTGGTTCATTGGTGGGATCATGAACCTGATTTAGGTAAGTAAATCCATTTTGACCATCCACTCGTAAAAATGATATATGTGAACAATTTTTTTAAAAAAAATATATATTTATATTGGTTTGGTCTATCGATAGTGCCGTGAACTTTATCTAGATAAGTATAATCCAATAAAAATAATGTTAAACCTAATGAAAAATAAAAATTGTTGCCCAACAAGTGCGAATAGTCTTCTAGAGACTACAATTAACATTATTAGTTGTTTTAAAAGTTTCCTAATATTTTTGTTTGACCAATATGATGTGTGTTATTTATTGCCTAATATCTCAAAATACTCTGAACTTTAGGAGCGTTTATAATTTCACTCTAATGTAACATTTTTATCAATTTTATTTTAATTTTGATCTTTTGTAGCAATAACACCCTCAATTAGGACTAAGGATGAAATTAAAAATAAAAAAAATATTTTCATCCATTTTTAATCATCATGGTGATACTAATAAAAATTAAAAAAAAAAATCTATTAGTTTATCCAATTGACGTTATACTGATTAAATTTTTAATTTTAAAATAAATGAACTAGTTAATAATTTAATGATAATTTTTTATTTCTTAACAAAAAGTTTTCAAATATGGCATAAAAGTTCAATCAATAAAATATAATTTTTCCATTACGTGTTTTGTTTTCATATTATCTATACGATAATAATAAAAATTTCTAATTCTTAATTCTTAATTATTTTAATTGCATATTAAATATCATATTTTTAAAATTATAAATGACTAAATGTGGATATAATTTAATACTCAAATGACATTTAAAATTTTGTTTTTATTATTGTTTTTTTATTTATAACAATAGGACACTATACTTAGAAAAGAATGAATATATTTTTAATATATTATCGCTACAAAAGATCGAAATCAGGGTAAAATTGATAGAAAAATCAAAATAAAGTGAAATTACAAAAATTTGCAAAGTTTAGAGTATTTTAATATATTAAGCTCACTATTTATTAAGTTCAAATATTTTTACAATAAAAATATTGGTCATCAAGTTCAAACGGTAGTGATTTTATTTTTGGTAGGAAAATGAGACAATTAAAGGCTAATTAAAACCATTCCGAATATAGGCAATACCCGAAATATCATGATTAAGCCAAACTATAATTTTCGGAGGGGATTCTTCAAGAACTCGAACACCCAAATCTAAAGAATGTATCGCCTTAGAGAGCTGGTCAGCACACATATCCATCTCCCGGAAAATATGAACAAGCACAAAATGGTTGAATTGAGAAATCAGCCGCTGAATATAAGCAACTAAACAACAAAGTGCAGCCGGAGGAGAAAGAATGCCGTTAAACATTTACTCGACAACTCAAGATTCATTGCTAACTTTTCAATTCATGAATGTTAAGCCCTAATTTATTTTAGTCATTAGCAGTAATTGAATATCTAATAATTACTCAAAATTCACCAAGCACCAAAAATATGAAACACAAATTCAAAAGATAAACCTAAAGGGTTCTAAAAATACTTGTATTGGTGCGGTCTAAGATAGCCTTCATCGGCTCCCTTCGTGGTCGTCTATCAAAAATTTCTTATTAAAGCTTAAAAAACTAATAATGATTAGGATATAATTTTAAAAATATGTATAATTAGCCCAAAATTTTATTATAAAATTTACTTTGGATATATTCAACTTGAAAAAAAAAGTAAACTCTTAAATGTTTAAAATAAAATTTTAATATATATATATATTAAAATAAATAGAAAATTATAAGGTTCTTCTTTTGTTCAGTATTCTATTTTTCTATTTTTAGAAATTTTCTTTATTTTATTGTGTTCTGATTGGACAATTTCAATTTATTTTATTAAAATATTTAATAGTATAATTGATGTTTTTATTTTTTATTATATGCTAATTATATTAAATCTTAAACACCTGGTGAGTAGTAAAGAATTAAGTAAAGAATTACTAATTAAAGGAATGAGAAATACATAAATAAATATATAAATGAAAATATAGATTTTTATAATTAAAATTTAGATAAAAACATTGAATAAAGATATTTAAAGAATTCTTTTTTTATTATATATCCTTTTTTAAATTTCAAATAATCAATTATATTTTTTGAGATTTTAAATACATTTTAAATTGTAAAATATTTTATCATAATAATCATTCAACGAAAGTATAAACAAAAATAAAATTCTAGATGTTCTCTCCTTTTATTTTTATATATTTTTTTTTGAAATTTTTAAAATTTTATTTTATTTTGCAATTTGATTGGAGCTTGAATATATTTTTAAATTTTATTTATAATTATTTTAACTGCTATATAAATTATTATGAGTTTAAAAACTTTAAATTATTTAATTTAATTAATATTTTTAAATTAATTATATTTAGATAATGTAAGTAACACGTGCAGATCAATGACAAATTATTAAAATAACAATACTACATAAGTATAAATAAACATTTCTCATTTATTTTAAAACCCGAAAATTTTTAAAAATAAAAATTCATAAAATATATATGTTGATTAGAGCCTAGACGTAATAATATTGTAATGTGCAACTAGTGATTACGCTTTTCTTTCGATAGTGAATGCACGCGTTGAGAAGAAAGTGGTGCTTATAAGAAGATTTCTTTTTCCCTTTTCCCATTTGTCTCTGAGCAAAAATTGCCGCCAAATATATATATTGTTGGGATTAGATTTCGTTAAGCATAGCATCTTTCTCATCCACGTATATTATTTACTGTACTTAGAATAATAACTATACATTCTCAACTATTCTAAAAAAAAAAAAAAACATACTACAGATCCAAAATGCAAGAAGAAAAATATTCATTACCAACATACGCATAAAAATCAATTATAATTTTTTAACCAATACATATATTTCCTTTTAAGAATCTTTAGATGACATTATTTTATATTAGAATAATTAGGAATGTAAATGAACTGAGTCGGCTCGCGAGTTATTCAAACTCGACTCAAAAAAAGTTAAAAATGGTTTGACTCGAATAGAGCCCGAGTCCAAGCTCGAGCCCAATGGTATTCAGCTCGAAAGCTCGTCGAGCCTTATCAAACTTATAGATATATATATATATATATATTATTTATTTTAAGCTCGAAGCTCGTCGAGCCCTTTATCAAACTTATAGATATATATATATAATATATTTATTTATTTTAGACTTACCTAAAGTCTCGAATCTCAAAAGCCACCCTGGCAGGTTTATATATATATATTATTTATTTTAGACTTACTAAAGTCTCGAATCTCAAGCCGACCCTGGCAGGTTCGAGTTTGGCTCGGCTCGGCTCGTCTATAGCCCTAAGAATAATGCTGTATATCAATATAGCCGAGCATAATTTAGTAAAACCGACCAGATATTCACTCCCATGTATCAAGATCAACTTAAAGGAGATCTGAAAGTATAATCAACTTTAATTTTAATTTTAATTATTAACGAACCATTAACTTTCTTGTGCTAATTAGCATCTGGTCATAGTTTTCAAATTTGGACTAGTGTACAAATATATAGAATGGAAAGCCACCAAAAAGAAGAATTCGAGTTATTAATATTTTGTTATTTACACAAATTATGCCTCACATAAACAGTTCAGTTGAGAAGAAGCAAGCAGTAACTACCTTATGCGGTTCTTATATAGAAAATTAACATTCCCAGAAACAGGATTCCTCCTAGCAGTAATGGGTATCACAGCGCCATCTGAAAGCATTCGTAGTAGAACTTTCGCTATATTTTTAGTGTCATCGATCCCAAGATGATGACTTCCCTGCATTGGTATTTTCAGCTGCTCCATCATCGTCCTCATTCCTCTGGCCTATCATCCACAAAAAAGCAAAAAACACAGAAAAACAATCACCAACTCTCTAAAAATGGAGGGGCCTCCATCCCAACTCTAACAGAAACTATAATGAAGGCCAAATTAGGAACACAAGAACATAAGAACCCAATGTCCAGCATCCATCAAAACAATGACCAAGGTCTACTTCAAAAAAAGAAAAAGAAGAAAAAGAAAAAGATGAAGCCTGCTGCATAAGCAGGAACCTGGATCTCCTATAGAGAAATCAGCATTGTAGTTTGGTTAGCATCACATTCATGCTCTAAATCTTCAGCATGGTTTGCTCAAGTGTCAACAGCACCTAACCAAAAGTAAGCCCTCAAGAAGTTTTTACTTTAGCTACTGAAACACTAATTTTTAAACTTCGTGATGCCAAATCAAAAGAAAGGATACATGGATGGTATTTTATGAATAAGATCATAACAAAAAAAGACTTGCCTCTTTTCTTGGTTTATAAAAATTTTGATAAACGTCTTTCAGATTGATCCACTCCATAAAGTACGGAGGAAGCTTTATCTTTGACACTTGGCATTGCTGAGGAACCTGTGTTTTCACATCCCAATTTCCACTGATACCAGCACAGCAAAGACATATCAGCAAATTATATGGAAAAATTCTTTAACTCAATTAAGTATTGTGAAGTTAATATAGGCAGAAAACCAGTTCATCCTTTTGAAGCTTTGCAACCTTCAATAGTCATGCTACATAGACGGAGTTTCTAGTTCAATGTTTGAAAATGCACTGGATGACTAGTTTGCATGCACTTTTTGATGGGAGCTAATGCAGAAAAGTTGTCTGAATAAATAACAGTAAACATTGGCATTGCTATTATAGACCCTTTTAGTGTCATATGTCTGAGGGATCTCAGCATGAACGATAATAAAATCAGATGAGTTACATGCTCGTGTTTGTTGATGGGTGTAAGATCTGTGGGGTGAGTGAAAACAAATGAGAGATGTTACCAAAAAGAACCCATTGATTAAGTAGATGCCATGGAGATGGCATCTGGTTTGAGGCAAGTGTTGTAATTAGACATTTCATTCCAAAACCAATTACACTCACCAAGTTACAAATGCTGCTCGATTAAGAAGTCCACCATGTTTCTTGTCCCATAAATGGTGATGGGTCAACCAAGCTTCAAATTCTTGAACAACTTCATTAAATGGGAGAGCTGTGTCATGCCAAACACTGCAAATGCGAATTAGATACCAGAAAATCCCCAAGAACACAGGCAAATACGCAACACAAAGTATAACTATAAATAAATAAATAAAGCCACATTTGGAACAAAATGAATGCATTGCAAATTTATTTTTGCATCTGGAATTGCTTGTAATTTTACTTTTAGCATAACAAGCATGGTACTTATAACTAAGCAAGATACAATATTACTCAATTAACCTAAGAATAAAATACCCTATACTTAATTAAAACAAGTTACCCTCTACTTAATCAACATGCAGTGAAGTACAGTTACAGTTTTAGATGGTGAAAAAAGTCAATTATGTACGAACTAGCTACAGAAAACTGCTGGCTTAACAGCCCATGATATTCACATTCTATCATCAGTCAAGATCACCATTTGAGTTTTCCAAATACAATCAGTTCACAGCTGTCACATATTATGCATTAAATTGTGGGTAAGCACAAGTACAAATCTCAGGAGCAGCTCCAAAATCATCTGAGAGTTTTTCTAACCATTAAATTCTCTGCATAAGTTGATAAGATTCTGTTGACCATCTGTAATATTGTTAAGACAATATTAAGAATGAAATGATTGAAGCATACATAGAGCATACCGATCAACTCCGAACTTGCCATATTTGTTCTCAATATATTCATTTATTCTTTGTTCGCTCATGGCAGAGGGCCTAACAAACCTGTGATAAGTAGCAACAAACTTTAAGAATAAAGAATAAGGCAATCCATCAAGCTGCAAAGATATAAATAACTGCCACTAAGAATCACTATGGATGAAGCAAAATATAAAAATATGATACTCTCCCAATATTATTATCACAATAAAATCTCGCTTCATTAACAGGCAACAAAACAACATAGCAAACAATGCCTGTAACTTGAGCATTCTTAAAGATCAAGTTATGAAGAAATGGAAATTAACCTGTGGAACAAATCTACAACGGCCAATGTTTGTGCATCTATTATTAATATAGGAAACTCAAGAATCTCAACTTTCCCCTCCAAATCAAAGACCAAGAAAAAATCAAAATCTTGAGGGCGCTTGCGTTCAAAGTCAGCAACATTCATCAAGAGGTCCCTAGAGCAATCATGATTAAACGTCTCTAGGTGGGTAGGATCATCCATCTGGATAACATAGTAATTTCTATTAATATAACAATTCAAAAACTAATCATTTCAAAACTTAATTATAAAGCCAACAATACACACACACATACACACACTTGGATTGAAAATCGAAGACTCCAGTAGCACTAAGCCATATCTATCTCATTGGCAGACAACAAAGTTCACATGGAGCCACTAAAACGGGAAAAAGTCATTTATTCGTTAAAACCATGACATAAAAACTAATTAGACGGACCTAAGCAGCAAGTCTTGTTCTGTCCTCACACCCACTAGTGAAAGGAAAAAAAACGACAACGCAAAGCAGTTCGGTGGAATTTAAAGTCCTGAAATTTCTGTGTGAGGACTATCCGCCAGCCGCATAAGCGCATTATTACATTGTAAACACAAAACTAAAGCAAGTATAAAAAGATATACAAGATATACGTAAAGGGCTAAAGGCAGTCAAGAACACATAATAAAAGAAGAGACAATTGATCAAACAGGTTGTATACGATAGTTAAAGCTCCATTGTTGGATAATTTTCGCTTTACCTTGGTGCACTTGCCTTGTGTAAAGTACAAGCACATGGGCCTCCAGCGATAACTAGTATCATCAATACGGGTAGGAATTGAAGAAGGAGAAGAAGAAATTGAATGAGAGAAATTAGCATGAGTTGCATAACTAGCAGTGACATTACCAAATGTGGGGACTGTTTGGCATATGGGTTTCATTTTGAAGATTGGGATCATGCGATATGAAGGACGTTTAAACAGAGGAACCTTAAGGAAAGACATAGCTGATAGCTCGCCTTCTGTTGCTTGAGGTTTTTGAGGTCAAGAGAAGGTTGCGTCTTTTGGATATCGTTTTTTTTTTTTTTTTCCCAGAGGAACCTTAAGGATAAGACCATAGCTGATAGCTCGCCCTTCGTTGCTTGACGGTTTTTGAGGTCAAAGAGAAGGTTGCGCGTCTTTTGGACTATCGTGTTTTTTTTTTTTTTTTGATAATCTTTTTTTTTGGATATTTCGTCTATTTATCTGGTAGAAATTTGGAATCTCAGACATTATCTTTTTTTTTTTTTTTTGATAATTTTTGGATATCGTTATTTATTGGTAGAATTGAATCTCAGACATGTTTCTATTCTTTTTAAGCTCGTGTCATACATATTTTTAGTGTTTTAAGTTTTTATTTTGGAGAGACTGTTTAATAAATTTAAACATTAAATTTAATCTACTATATACTAGTATCTAATTAAAATTGTTAAATTAAGAAAAGAAAGAGTTTCAGGAGTCTATTTTTACTAAATTTCTAAAAATTTAAAAGTTGAATTAACATCTAGCAAAAATTTATAAAACAAATTAGTTAAGAACAAATAAAAAGAATTAAATCAAAATATATTTACAAAAAAATTTAATATATATACATATATATAAATTTAATATCTAATATATATACATATGTATAAATTTAATTTAATATTTTTTCTTTCAAAAATTTAATTTAATATTTATTTATTAGACACCTCCATAAAATTCTTTGTTTTGTTTTCTATGTGCGTTGCTACAGTTATAAATAAATTAAAATATGTTTGAATAGAGTTACAGATTAATCCAGAAATTAAACAAAGGAAATGAGTTAAAAACAAAGTAAATGTTATTTTTATAATAAGGTTGGATTCACTTTGCTCTTCAAAAGTGCGAGAACAAGATTCATAATGTCTGTCTTTTACAAGTCATTCATGAAACCTAAAATTTAACCTTTCCACCTTTTCTGCACATAGCAATTTGCTTCAAGTAGCATATGCGAGTTTTACAAGAGAGAGAAAAATGGATAACAAAACCATCGAATTCAAATGAGTGTGAAGATAAGCCATAAAAGATCAGAAAGAACCAGTGCCTTTCTTGTAGTGTAGGAGGCCAAACTTCATTTCTTCCAAGCACATATGCAATCGATAATAGAAAAAGAGGCTGTACTGAGAATTCTAAATTCTGATATTAACTGTTTATTTTCTGTAATTAATCAGTCATCCTCATCATCAAGCTCTGTGAAATCTTCTACCACATTATTCCTAGCAGTTTGTCTACTCATAGATCGCATTTCTTCAATTTCAACAAGTAACAACGGATCACACACTACTTTGTCTGCCTGCAAAATCTTAGGGCAACCTGACAGAAAGAAGAACAGTTATAGAGCTGATTAGGTAATTAAATACAAGTTTAGCAAATGAAGATTAAATACCTGTTATAGGACATTTTGCTTGTGCTTTTCCAGATGCTATATGGTGCATGATTGCCTTCTTTTCATAAATATGCTTGCATTGCACACTACAAATTAAAAAAAAGGAAAAAAACAATAATAATACGTTTTAATCAAAGTTTTAAAGCATCACTGTCTTTATCCAAATTACCACTTATGCCAAAGGGAGGAGATGAAAAAGAGGTGGGGTGGTTAGAGCTCACTATAAGTTACTTCAATACCCTAATTGCAATCGACAAAAACATTTACAAAAGCATCCACCATTTTAGGCATGCATATGGCTTACCCATGTAGATCTATGCACCGAATATCTTTTACTTTGCTTCAACTGCTAGTGACAGTACTAGCAGCTAACCAGTAATTAAAACAAAGCAATATGGTGAAAAAAAAGAAAAAAAAAAGAGCATACATTTCGAGGAAGAACTTAGTACCTGCGAACTGGCTCTGCTAGTTCAATAACAGGCTTTCCACTCACTGGGCAAGTTATATTTAAAAGGTTGGATTGGGTACTTGTCATTATAATATCCTCTTGCTCTTCACCTGGCATTGGCTGCCCCGAATGATGAACATTCTAGAGTAGAAGGAAAGCACAAGGCACTAGATTATTATCCACAAGAACAAAATACAGTATAAATAGCATGTATGTTTATGTGCAGAGAGAAAAAGCTTCTATAAGCAAGTAGCCAACAAGTTGATAACATTTAGAATAAAGTAAAAACAGCTCTATATAATGTCAAAATTAGAATTATTAGAGAACCTTCTTTCTATCTCTATGGAGCAAAGGAAATTAAATGTCAAAATGAAGATAATTTAGGAAAAATAGATGATGATGAAAGCAAAAGTAAAAATAGATATTCTAGTGGTGAGGGGAGTTTTGGCCAAGTCCAAATCAGAAAATCAAGAATGAAGTATATATATAACTATTGATAGTATAAATTAAAAATAACAGTTAAGCTGAAAATGGCTTGGGAGTTTTTTTTTTTTTATCTTGAAATCATTATCATGCATTTTATACCATCGTGGAAGTCAAAACATATTAATTGAGTGCCTTGTAAATTTAGGTTTTCCGAGAAGGTAATGCATGCTAAGCCACAGGCTCATCTGTAATACACAAACGTAATGCTATAGGCAGGAAATTTTTATTTTCAAATTGATTATGGCAATGATATTTCTACGTTACTGTTTCGAATAATGGTGTTTTTTCTCCTTTTTGAACTGTGCCCAAAGATTTTGACTTATTATGTAGATTATTAACTTTCGGTTGCAAATAATTAACTAGGCGCCAAATAAAAATTTTATTCAATGAAAAGTCTGTACAAATATATATCAGCAATTTTTGATTTTCATTCAAGCAACATAGAAATAATTGGGTCTTAACAGCTAAGGTTAGCAATGATAATTAACAGAAAATAAAAAGCATATTACTGATAGAAGCAACCAAAGAAAATCCAAATATTTTTGCCTTAAAATATATGAAAAAAACATACCCAAATAGCTTCTCTAAATTGACGCATTAATGGATGACTTTGTGAAGCAAATGAAGAACTAGACTTAAGCTTCTCAAACTCAGCCTCAAGCAACTTCTTGAAATCTGTTAACTGTGATTCAACATCAAATCAACAGTAAGTCTGATAATATTAATATAAGCAGCAAGATAAAATAAAAAAATACATGAAAAAAAAAGTGTAGCAAGAATTCAAGAACCTCCGCCCCGGGCTGGTATGAATTCCCAACCGATTCAATTGCTGATGCATGATGTTGACAATCTTCATAAGACTCAAGCAATTCAGCAACAGCATTTTCAAGGTCCTTTACCTGAAACGTCAAACTTTGAATAAATGGAAGATGCCATTTGTAACAAGCTTTTATTTTAAGTGCCAATGATCTGGGAAGAGTAGCTATAATTCAAAAATAAATGCTATTTCATGAAGTAGATTTTTGCAGCAAAAATAAAAATAATATGCTTCATAATTTGCCAAACAACATGAAACTAGGATTCCTTAATCAAATCAGATGGTATACAACATAAACAGATTAACTCTTCAGCATGCATAGATCTCTAAATAAAAGCTTTGGAATACCATTGCAGATTCATTATCTTTCTCAAAACAAACTGCAATTTCCTTCATCATATTCAAAGCCTTCCGAATTTCCTGAAACAAGGAATAAAGTGAGATGCCAGATAAACACAAAAATTACAAACTCCTAATAGTTGGTTAGCATTTCAGAAGTTCTTGTTTTGCCAGTTACAAGCAAAATATGAGGTTCATCCAAATGCTAAACAAATCCCACCATTTAAGACTTCTGCATGAATTGATCAATGTCAAGACCCACAAAAGCACCATTGCATTGGCAAACTCCATAACCTATAATTTGAAGATTCAGAAGTTTTTCTTTTTCTGTTTTTTGTTTTCTTTTAACCCCTTGTTTCTTTCTCCTTCAAGCAACGAAAAGCACTTTATATTGTAGAGAAAATTATGTCAAGATAAAGAGTGAGCGAGACTTAGGTACTATGCCTTGGCATTTTTCAAGCAACTATTCTCTTTCTAAAAATCAATCGAAAGGAATTCATTTTGCTCATAGAAGTGAAAAGCACATGAACTGTTTCAATGTTTAAGTAAGTGCATAAGCATGATTTGAGTAATAATGGCATACTTCATTGTTCTGCTACAACAGCAACAATGAAAGCAATCTATTATGTTGTTCTTGCACTGAAAAACTTCTGATTTGAATCATTCTATGGCCAAAAGAAGAAAAAGGATCCCGATGGATCTAAAATAATACATAACAGAATCCATTTAAAGGTAACTATATGCAATAATTCCAAACAAATGGTGGAATTTGTGCAATTCAGGGGCTAATTTCATCTGAAAAAATGCCTAATTTCCTTTCACAAGTATAAACTTATACACACACAAAAACACCCTGGGGTTTTCTAAACAATCACTTAAACATTTTAACAGAATTGAGTAACCGTGACCAATCAACCTTTGAAATTGAAATTCGATTTTGATTTCTGGAAGCAAAAAATTGAATTCCATTGACTATATTGTTATCAAAAACAAGGAAATTGATTGCAAATATGAAATAATAACAAAAACGCGAAGTGGAATTTCGTTATTACAGCAATCAGAGACTGAGCTTCCGAAGAAAACGTTGAGGCTGCGTTTCTGATTCTTCCGGCGGCGCCGCCGTCACGAGAAGCTGAGGTTGAAGCCATGTACGTTGGTTTTTGTCTAAACTGTTTGTTACTGGCCGGTTCAGTGCATGTTGGTAAAGTGAGATCTGCTAGTGGTGTACGCAGGTGTTTTTTTGGAGGGAGTTTTTAGGAGGGAAGAGTAATCTCGGAGTGGACTCTGTACAAAAACGCACATAAATTCATGCGTTTTACAATATATTTATTTATTATTTTTTTAAATATTAGAGAAAGGAGATTCCAACCACATCTATTGCAAGTTCGTAAATTTATTAAATGGTTAATACGGCATTATAAAATAATAAAATTAATGTTTTGAAAACTCTATACAAATTAAGGAAAACTTAAAAATAATAGTTAAAGAAAAATTATATTTCATGATTTTTTTATTTTGAAAGTCAGAATAATAGCTAAGGAAATAAAACTATTGATAGAATCAAACTGAAAATCGAATCGATTTGATTCAATTTAGTTCAATTCCTTTATTTATAAATAAATCGATTGTCCATTCGATCAATTTAAATTAAAATTTTCTTGAGTTTTAGCCCAATTTTATAAAAATCAATCAGTTAAGTTTATAATTTAATTGATAGGAAAAAATCAATTAAATTGACTGAACTTAATTAGTTGGGTTCTTTATTAATTTTGATTCGGTTCAATTACAATTTCTAAAAAGTTAGTTCACCTCTTTTATATTGATTTCATTGGATTTTAAATCAAAATACAAATTTGATGGCTAAACCATACAAAAGTCCTCAAACTTTACAATTTATAACAATTGACCTCAATATTATTTTAACCCCTCTGAAATCTCAATTTTAATTTTACAACCTAAATTTACGCTTAATTTTACTCGGTGTTCCTGGACTCATATCCATTTCCCTTTACCGTCCCTAATCTTCAAAACGTCCCAACAAAATTGAAGTATTTTTAAAATTGTAACTATAAAATCCAAAATCCACGTAACCTGTCAATTTTTACTGGTTTACTCTGTTGGCATGTCGAATCACTAAAAAGTTGCCAATAATAAACTCCATGTCAGCAAATGGAGGTAAAAAAAAATTATGCGCCCCAGAATCCTTTTATCTCTAAAATCAATCTTTTCTCTCTCCTTTTATTTTGGTCAAAGCCCTAAACTCATCGTCCCTCTCACTCTCATTTTACATTTTGCAAAACGAGTACGATTTTATTTTTTATAATTTTTTTATTATTTTAAAAGGAATGATAATAAAAATTTGTTGAGGTCAAATTAAATATTTTTCTAAAAATAATGCTCCCACATTACCTATTTCCTGCCAGTGTGAAAATTGAGAGAGGTAGAGAGACGAGAAGAAGCTATGGAGGTAGTACGAGTAGCTTCTCTTTCTTTGTTCTTCTGTTTTTCATTCATTTACAAAAATTCGACAAAGGAAGCACTAAGCACTATCCTCGTGATAAAGAGAGATAAAGCAAACTCAAAACAAAATCAAGCAGATCTAGAGAGAGGGGAGAGTGAAAGGTGTTTACCTGAAAAAATGAATGCCGGTGGATGCTCAAGTAGGCCACTGATTTCTCTATTCAATTTGTTTTACAGATTTGCTCGCATGCTTTACCAATTTTGATTATTTTAAGCGGTTTTGTTGCTATTTAAAGCTTTCTATTGATATTCTCTCTTTCCTCCGTAACACAGCTTCAATCCTTGTAAACCTTCCTCACCTATAACTCCACCGTTTTCTTCCCATACTAATAGAAGTTCAAAGAAGAAAGCTGATTGAGAATCCTTTTTTAATGGATCACTAATATGAGTTTTAGAGCATTTTTGAGCAGAAATATAGTTAAAGATATGTTTTAAACATGGGAGAGAAAAGATTAATTTTAAAGATAAAAGGATTCTACGCCCATAATTTTTTTTTTTACTTTCATTTGCTGACATGGTGTTTATTGTGTGACAACTTTTTGATGATTTGACATGCCAGCAGAGCAAACCGGTAAAAATTGACCGATTAAGTGGATTTTGAATTTTACAATTATAATTTTAAAAAGACAATTAATTTATTTGGACATTTTGAAGGTTAGGAACGATAAAGGGAAAGGGGTATAAGTCCTGGGATGTCGAGTAAAATTAACCCCCTAAATTCAAATTGATCAAAATTATATAAAAAATAGTAATAAATGCAGGTTCCACGTATCTTGTTTGAGATAGCTGATCCAAGGAGCTAGATAGCTAGACCGCACCATTTTATTTGTATTACTATTCTTCCTGATTTTCCTTTTTACCGTGAGTCACAATAGATTTCTTTTTTTAAATCATATGAAAAAATGCAATAAAAAAAATCGTATTGAAAAAATTTTCTATACAATACTCTCTCGTTGTTCCAAAATATAAGTGATTTTATATATTTTAAGGAGTAATAAATGATGTTTTTTCAATATTATCCTTGTTTAGATTATTTACAATAAATATTTTCAAAAATAACTATTGATTTTAAGATAAAAGATAATTTGGTCAAATTACTCTTGAGTTTGCTATAATCTAAGATAATTAATAGTTTCTTTAATCCTTGTACAATAATCTTGAACGGCTTATATTTTAAAACAGATGGAGTAACATTTAGGTACTCAAAACCCTATCTAGATAACACAATTTCCTAATTTATTACTTCCTCCATTCCATTTTACTAGTAACATTTGCTCTTTTCACAAAAATTAAAAAAATGATTGGAATTCATTGATTTTCTAAAAATACATGGTAAAATGTTTAAATTATCCTATATATATATATATATATTACACACAAAAATAAATATAGATAAAGTTGAAAAAAAATAATTAATATAATTTCAAAAAAATTTACTGATGTTAAATGAGGTTTTCTAACAAGGCTTCATAGAAGATTTGCGCTCAAATCAATGGAGGGAAAGGAAGGTGGGACCGTTTACTTATTCATTTTATTTGAAAATATAATTTGTTTTATATTGATTGTTTCGCCCAAAATATAAAACATTCTAGATATTTTAAAAAATAATTAATGATCTTTTATTAATTTAACCTTTATTTACATTCAATGCAAATTATCTTCATGAGTTACCATTTGCTTTAAGATAAAAGAATAATTAAGAGGAATTTATTGCTTTTCTAATTCTCATAGCAAAATTTTAAACGACTTATATTTAGAAATAAAGGGATACAACTTTTTTTACTAAAATATTTTTTTTTAAAGAAAACTAGAAAATAAAGTTTCGTGTTTGAATTTATCAATTTTTATTTTGACAACTAGAAAAGTTTTTTGAACTTTATCTAAAATTTGAAAAACAAGTTTCAGATGTTTTCACGGTTGTTTTCCAACTATTTTTATTAAAAAATATATTTTCATAACTAAAATTATAATATATAAGACTTGTTTTGAAAAAATATTTCATCGAGTAATGATGAAAAATATTGACATAACTTAATAAATATTTTTTATTTTTCAAATTTATATTATACATTAATTAGTAATTAATGTTATCATTATAAAAATACATATTTATAATGAAATGATTTATTTTTAAAAAGTTATACAAAATGATAAAAAATTGATAATATTATTGCAAATCAATTATATATACTAAAAAACCTTTTTTTAATAATATTTTACTTCTTTATTATGAAAATCATGAATACTATTTTTAAAATTTTTAAACTTATTTTTATTATTAATAAGTCAAGGCGTTTTTTATTTTCTATTCCTTATTTTTTCCATTTTATAGGAAAAATTGTTTTGTTGTAAGAGTTAGTTTTTGTAATTGCTGAAATTAATTAAATTGCAAAGTTACTTAATTATATTTCCACAATTTACTTTTATTTCTCATTTTTAGATGTTATTTTTCCAAAATTATACATTACTTTAAGAATATTAAGAAGTATTAAATGATTTTTCTAATTTTACTATTATCTCTACTAAATAGAATAACTATTTTTTACAGTTTCTAAAAAAAACTATCCTATCTCCTCTATCTTTTTCTTTTTTTAATTTTAGTGTATATTAATAGGAAAAAATATTGAAAGAAAAAATATTGAAATTAGATTAATTAAGGGAAGTCAAATAAAGATTATTTTATTTGTACATATGTAAAACAAGTAAGTTTTCACTGCTAACATGTAGGATTTCAAAGAAATGACATATATAATGCTTAATTTTTTACTTTATATTTATTTGGATATAACTCGGTTTTTCAAATAATGACATGTGCGGTACTTTTATTATTTATATTTTTTATTTAAAAATAAATTAAATTATGATTATCTATTATTAAATTAAATTTATTAAATATAATTAGTTAATATAATATTAGAGGATTAATAACATATCAAATAACAATTTACAGAACTTTTTTTTGAGAAGAATTTATCCAACCTTTTTTTTTTTGAGTAGAATTTATCCAACCTTTAATTATAAATTACTTAATTTATGAAAACGATAAGGATTGTTATTGTTCTATATTAATTTAAAAATAATTAAAAATAAAAATAAAAATTTATTTATTTATTTATTGAATTAAATTATACTAAATATAATTGATTAATTATAACGTTAATGAATTAATAAGATGATGATTTACACAATTTTTTCAATTATTTAAAATAAATATTTAATTTACGGATTTAATGATAAGAAGAGTTATTTTTTATATTAAAATCTAAAATAAATCAAAATAATCATTTCCACTATCTTTTATTTGACTTTCTTTTTTTATTTATCTCTATAAGTCTCAAAATATTTAATCTATCCATTTAAACGCATGTCTATGTATTAATTAATTCTTATTTTTATAATAAGAAAAATCAGAATTATATTTTTACAATTTATCTATCTTTATTAATATTTTTAATAGTATAATAAAAAATTCACTCAAGAATTTATCAACAATATATATATATATACTTTTAATTTTATTTATTTTTCTTAATTATGCATATGACAGAGATATTACTAGTATTTTTGTAAACCTAATCACTTGTGACAATTATATTGAAAAAGATATAATTTGAAGTCAAATTAAAGAAGAGATCACAAGTTGCTTTCAATTCCAATAAATGCAAAGAAAACAATTGTATAATAAATGTTAGGGGGTTTTTCCAATTCCCTCGAGATTATGGCATTGCACGTGGCAGATAGAAAAAATTTGCCAACGAAATTGAGAATTATTATTGAAATAATAGTCTTTCTGACTATGTACTTAAAAAAAATGATAAAATCAAAACACTTTTTAAAAGATACTTGATTTCATTGGTTTGGTCCATAATTTAGACAATTAAACAGGTTTAGGTAAATTTTTCCCTTAATGGCATGTACCATGTCCATAATTGCTGGCATTGGCTCATCCAAATAGTGATAAGCAAATGATAAAGGTTGAAATTGCCCAACCAGCCCAATCTTCTTATTTCTAAAATCATTTATTTTGAAAATATAATTTGTTTGAGATTTTTGCACGAAAAGACTTATATTTTAGGATAGATAAGATACACGTAATGACTATAAATTTTATTTTTGAAATTTTAGTATTTTAATTATTATATTTACATAGTTTGATATTATTTCAGTATTAGAAAACTTAAATTTTTTATTTTTTAAAAAATTATAAACACAATGAAGATTACTTTACATGACAAATTTTAATTAATTATTTATTATTTATTATTTATATACTAATTACTATTACTCCCTCTATAAGTAATTTCAATAATATCAAGAAACAATTAATAATATTTTTCAAACATACTCTTATTTATATTACATAAAATAATTTATTTCTATAATTTCCTATGGGATAATTTAATCAAATTAATTACTTTATTAATTATCATGTAATAATCTTAAATTATTTATATTAATTAAGTTGGCCTGTGGAGGCGCTGCCAATTTATTACAGTAGACCTAAGCTAGTCAGAGAAGCTGACTTGCCGACGCCTGATTCATTGTTTCCGTTCATCGTCAGACAATTTTGGCGTCCATTTCCAGCGTTCTTCTTTTTAATTTCATCTTGGCAGTTAGTTTGTCACCTCAAGTTGACCAAAGCGGTACACAGTTTTCGAGCTCGATTTCAGCGAAGCAATAGTGAGTCACACCGCGACTCGACCTACGACAACATCAATTCCATTTCTAAACGCGTTTTTTCCAAGTAGTTTGAATGAAATATTTTAGGCTTACGTCACTTCTTCAATTTAGAATGTCTGTAATTGAATGTTATGTATTTTTAATGATGTTCTAATATTAAGACTTAGAATGAAATATTAAACTGTTCTTGTATGTTGTGTTTGTAATGAAAAATTATATTCTGGATGATTACGTTGCCATGAGATTATTGGAATCCTCAAGGCAATTTCTACTCTTACAATTGTCTATTTTACATGCTGTTTTAAGTCAATTTTTAGGGGGATGGTCGAATTTTCACCATCAGTGCATATACACTTATTTAATAAAATAGAAATGTACCGTGAAATAGAATATATATATATATATATATATAATAGAATATATATATATATATATATATATACAAATTAAGTGTTATTTGATTGGTTTTCTCAATAATATAAGTAGTGAGAGGTTTCAAATTCGAGTTCTCTCAATCATATTTAACTAATTTGGTGAATTAAAAGGAAGACTGCCCTATTATGTAGCCGGTAATATTATTTCGATGCATTAAATCTTCAACGGAAAAAAAAATCTATATACAATTTATTTAGTATTTATAGTTTTGAGTTTCTAAAATCTAAAATCAAAACATGAACTTTTCTAAATTAAAATTAAATCCATCTGAAATGATAAAATAATCCAACCTAATGAACCAAAATACATCAATTCAATTTAATTTTTCAATTTTAACCAATAATGTTCCTGAAAGGGTTTAAACTTTAAAGTTTTATTTGCAGGTGGACTTGCTCCAATTATTCAGATTTTCATTTTGTTCGAACTCGATCCAACACAATAAAGTATACTATGCAATGTTAATTAACTTTTTTATTAACAATGTGAAATTAATCCCCTCATATATATGGATTCCCAACTCGAACCATTTTCGAGGAGAGCCTCAATGGGTATAGGTTGGCTGTCCTAGCCAAGAAATAAAATCTTTTATCAAGCTTAATACCTTGAGAATTGAGTATTTTTAAAATTCTCACTCAAAATTAAAAGTAAATAAATAAACCAAGTTACATCAAATTAAATAATTCAATAGTTATCAATTTGGTTCGATGTGTCCCCTCAACAAAAAAAAAAAAAAAAAAAAAAAAAAAAAAAAAAAAAAAAAAGAAATAAATAAATCGGTGGATGTGAAACAAGGATTAATGATGTATCAAAAGTTGTAGTCCTTTTATTTAGGAGTAAAAAAAAAAAAAAAAAAAAAAGAATAAATAAATCGGTTGGATGTGAAACAGGATTATAGATGTATCAAAAGTTGTAGTCTTTATTTAGGAGTGTACAAAACCACTGACCGAACCGACTCATTTCGGTCGGTTATTTAAAAGAAGGTTCGGTTAATGGTTTACTCAGTTTGAATTGAATTTGATGTTTAGTTCAAATCGATTCAATAGAAATTTATCAGTTGGGCTCAAAATCGAATCGAAATAAAAAAATTGATTATTGATTGAACTGACTAGTTTGATTTGAATCGGTTTTGTTCAAATGTCTATTTTAGTTCTGTATGTTATAAAAAAATTTGATTTATATTTCATAGTGTGGGTTTAATTCGATTTGACTTAAACAGAACTCACCGTTTGCTGGCCTGGTCTTTATCCATAAGTTTATTTATTAAGTGTAAATTTTTTCCATCTGGTCAAAGCAAAGAAAGCCCCATACAGATGTAGATTGGTCACGTTGATGTCAAATTACGTACGGACTCAAGTTGATTCCATCAATTTCCCTCCACACATCCACGATCTAACCTGGCCAGCCCCACCTGAAAACCCTTGTCGCAAGCAAATAACACCAAGAAAATTTGGTTGTTTGACATTGAACCATAAACATCCATTGGAGTAACACTGGTTTAAAATATGTGCACACAAGTGCCACTTGCTTGATGCATTTATACAAGTTGGAAAACAAGCTATATCCATGCTTTTACCATGGATTACAAATAATTTATTAACCGTTAATATTATAAGTAAGCACTCTGATCTTTGAATTATTAATTTAAAAATATTCAATTTTTAATATTATAAAATAGATATTCAAGCACTGAAGTACTGGTCCAATAGTTAAATATATATGTATATTTTTAAACATACCAAAATCTTGATAGGGTACTAACAAAGTACACTTATGGCCAGAGAAACTTGTTTTATGAAGCCCAACTTGATACTCCACCATTAGAACCAATGAAACAAGCATAAAGCTCATCAAGTTGCAAAACCTCACCATTGACATCTTCATGCAAACTAGAGCTACCACCTTCATCACAAGAAGAGTTGCAAGAAACATTAGGAGGAAGATGATGATGATAATGAGTAGGAGGAGGAATGATTCCATGATTTAAAGAAAACAACATTTCTTGAACCTTCCTTAACTCTTCTTTAAGTTGCAAAACTTCTCTCTCTAATCTTCTTTTATCAACCACTGCATTTTCAAGCTTCACTTGAAGTGTATTATAGTCAAGCTCTAAGCTTTGTGTCCTCCATCTTGCTCTCTTGTTTTGGTACCAAATAGCAATTTGTCTTGGTGGTACTCCTAGTTGGTTTGAGAGTTGGAGTTTGAGCTCAGGCTCAAGTTTCTTGTTAGTAGTGAAAGTTCTCTCTAGAAGCCTAACTTGTTCTTGTGTTAGCCTTCTTTTGTTGTTGTTTTGGTGTTTTGGTTGGGTCTTTTGTAGGTTTTGGGTATGGAAGAAATCCATATTATTTTTGGGGTTTTTTTAGAGAATTGTTTGAGAAAAAGAAATTCGTATGAGAGGGAAATTGTGGAAGTGTTTGAGAAAATATTGGTGGGTTCAGATGTTCTTTTATAGTACAATGGCTTATACTTGACAAGGTACTCCTTTACTTGATAGGGAGAGGAAGGACCCTATAGCGCAAATAAGGGGGCAAAAAAGGAAAAAAGATCACATTGCAATTGCAAATGAGAGAGAAAGAGAGGCGGCTAATTAAGTATTAATTGGTGCGCGTGGTCTTCATGTGAAGATGGTCCTACTTATGATGATATAGTACATTATCGTTATGGGCCTTGAATATTTTAATTTGTTAAAAAATAAAATTTTCCTTTCAAAGTCTTTTTTTTTTTTTTTTTTTCACATTTATAATTGAAAAATGTACCATTTTTATGCAAACATCGGATGGAAATAAAAGTTTCAAGTTAATCCATTTTGAACCAATGGTCATCCCTAATTACAATGACTAATTCGTCTTTTAAACTGTAAAATCCATATTGATGGTAGTAGCCTTATCTGGGGTTGCCAGTGGAGGTGCTTTATTTCTTTGGGGAGATGACTTGATGGTTATTCCCTTAATATTGGTCACTCAACGATTTTGGTTGGTGAGCTGTCCTCCGTTAGGGTCGATCTGATTCTTGGTTGGGATCGTGGTTTCCATAAGATCATTATTGAGTCTGATTGTTTGAAGGTTGTGAGGTTGGTCAACTCTGAGTTAGCAACGGCTCATCCGAGTTCTCGTTTTGTTTTCTATATCATACTTTTCAGGAAGCTAATTTTGCAGCCGATCATTTGATTAAATTGAAGCATTCTATTCCGTCTTCTTTATTCATTTCGGACATAGGTTCTAGTTCCCTGTTTTTGATTCTTTAGGCTAATACTTATAGCATTGGCCTTTTGAGGTAGGCTATTTTTGTTTTCTTTTTCTCCCGTTTGTAACAAAAAAAATGTAAAACTCTTATTATGTTTAGATATGTATATTTTCCATTATATATAAAATATATTTTTATATATTTTTTCAATATGAATTTCATCTCATCTTGCTCTATATACCTTCTTTTTTTTTTTCTCAATTATTAAATATTGATGTGTATCACTTAATGATAATATATAAATATACACAAATTTTTTTAAAACTGAAATATATACCATTTTTAATAACTTAGAGAAGTACAAAACACAAAATGGGAACACTTTTTTTTATTCAGCCGAATTGTCAATCGGCAGAAATATACAAAATCAGTTGTTAGATCTCGAAATACAATTGTGACATAAGCTGATAGTATAACTTTTTAATTTTAGTTTTATATACCATGTGAAATTCTTTTTTCAATTTCATAACCATTACTCTTCTGTTTATCACAGAATTAAAATTATATGATGTGTAGGTCTTATTAGTGTTTTTCTTTTTTATTTAGTACTGTAAACTAACCAAGTCGCTTGAAATTTGATTGGAGAAAAATTTATTCAATAAACTTAATATATTAAATTTAAACCTTTTTATGAAATTCATTTAATAGACTAGTAGAATTTATGCTTTATACTAATTAATTCAATCATAACAATCACAAATTAACTTAATAATAGTAGACAAATCTTGGGGTGTGAAAACCATCAAAAATCAAATTGACCTGTTTCAGTTTGGTTTTGACGGTCTATTTACAGGAATGTATTTTGTGGGTTTGAATCAAAGACATTATTCGTTTCAAGCTAATTTCATAAAAATTAATCAGTTGGATTTAAAATAAACCGGCATAGCAAAAATAATCAAAGCTGGCCGATCCGATTGGTTTGATTTCATTTAGATACTAATTTTTATTTTTGGTATGTTGTCCATAACCTTGATTTTCATTTTTTAATCTTAATTTTATTAGATTTGAACCGAATCAATCAACTGTTTGCTCACTATCCGTAAATAGAGATACGGAATCCAAAAACGAGCTAGAGCTTGAATCCCAACATTTAAATTGTACATTACCCACAATTTTTCTTTTTCTTTTTCCAATTGAAAACCGATACACCTCTACTTATCAAAACACTCGACGCCCATTTTTTCTGATGTTGAACATTATATATATATATATATATATATAAAGATTGTCATGAAAATCCAATCATGTTCCCTGTTCGTAGTTCGCATGACACCAAAATATTAAACAATGATATGTAAAGCTCTGAAACACAGAGCCCCACTCATTTATGATTTATTATCCCTTGGGGCCCTGCTCCTAACCATCTTGACCGACATTAATGGCTAAACAAATCTCATTTTATAGCTAAATCAGAGAGAAAAAAAAAAAAAAGTCCAAAGACTTCCATTGCCAAAATACAATATAAAATCCAAGAGTTTGAAAGGGGAAGGAGCTGCCATTGGGTCGAAGCAAATTGAAGAATTTGACTGTCATTTTGCTTGTCAAAATTTTTAATTTTTAATTACATTATGTTTATATTAAATACTCCTACACCAAGTCAATAGTTGATTAACATTTAATAATATTATCACTCTCTTTTATCTATTTATAAAATAAAAAATTCATATTTTCATTTAAATTGCCACTATTAAATTTATTAAATATAATTAGCGGAAATAGGTAATTCTTTTCCCATCTTAAGTTGGTGGCCGCTGGGTGTTGAGGGTAATGAGAAAGTGGAAGTAACAAATTGAACGGGATAGACAGACCTTCCAATTCAAATTCACAGGACATAGACATTGCTAGAAGTTGAAAACGAAGTTTAGAAAAATGGAGAAGCATTGGGTGGTTCTTTCAAGTAATAATGAAACATTCTTGTCAACTTGTCCAATTAATGCTAGCAGCTATAATTTGACTTCTGCAAAATCACAAGTCGGTATAAATAAAAATTATCTTAATATTACTAAATTAAAACTTAATCTTTTAAAAATTTCAATATTCGTTATTAGATTTTTTTTTTTGCACGTGTATTTTCACCTTTAAATTGAGATATTTTTCAGATAAAATATTTTTTTATGGCAGAATACATATTCACCCATGAACTTTGCAATTTTAAATATTGTGATACTTTCAATTTTTACTTTAACTCATTAAACACTTCAACTTATAAAATTTTTTTTTTTGCACGGTGTATTTTCAAACCTGTTAAAATTTGGAGATATTTTTCAGATAAAATATTTTTTTACTGGCAGAATACATATTCACCATGAAGCTTTGCAATTTTAAATAATTGTGATACTTTCCAATTTTTACTTTAACTCATTAAACACTTCAACTTATAAAATTACATTTATAAAATTACATCTATTAAACACTTCAATTTTTAAAATTATTCTATTGAACACTTTTAGATCAATTAAACACTCATTAAAAAGTTAAAATTTATAAAAATTATTATCGCAAAAATCATGCTAACTATATATCAAGTTAATATTTTACATAAAAAAGTCAAAAATCCTAAAAATTATTAATATTAATATCGTAAAGTGCGTAATATTACCAAAATTTATAAATTCAAGTGCATGATAGATCATTTGTGAAATTCAAGATGCCATAAAGTTAAGATTGTAAAGTTCAAGGGTGAATTTATATATTCAACCTATTTTTTATAGAAAAACTAGGACAAAACCCCCTTTTTTTTTTTTTTTACAGGTGTGTAATATTACCAAAATTTACAAGTTCAAGTGCATAATAGATCATTTGCAAAATTCAACATGCCATAAAGTTAAGATTGTAAAGTTCATAGGTGAATTTATGTATTCAACCTAGTTTTTCTATACTAGGACAAAACCTTTTTCTTTTTTTTTTTTTTTTTTTTTTTTTTTTTTTTTTTTTTTTAGAAAGACAAAAACTGAAAAACTTTGTTCAAAAGAGAAGAAGCCACTAGCTAAAATACCAATTTTTTTTTTTTTTTTTTTTTTTTTTTTTTAGAAGACAAAAACTGAAAAACTTTGTTCAAGAAGAAGCCACTAGCTAAATACAAAAACCTTTCTATCTACATATATATTTGCTTTTTCAACCTTTCCTGCTGTTGTTCTTCTTGAGATCAATCACATATCGTAAGTGTAGTATTATCTTTTTCTAATTTTCGTTTAAACTTTAATTGATGGGAATAGGATCATATCACATGCAACTAATTAAGTGCATGAATTTAGTGCTTGGGATACAATTAAGCTTCTCAAAACTAGACATAAAAAATAATTGTGTCCCTAAAGTTATAGCTAATCCTTGATTAGGTACCTTTCAAAACTACATTTCATGTTTTTAATCAATAAAAATGGTGTCGTTTGGAAGGGTACACTCTTCCCCACATGCATGCTTATATTTTGATATTGTGATTGGTAGGTGTATACAGAGCCTCTGTTCATGCACCTTTGAATTAATGATGTCAATTGGATAGGATAATTTGAATTTAATTTTTTTTTTTATTTGACAAAATATATAGTTTTTTTTTAATTCATAAATAAAAATAAATACTTTTCTTTTTTATTTGACTCCCACAATTTAAATTTACAATCAATAAAATTAAAACCAATCTATTGTTGAATATAAAATATCAACAAATATTCATTTAATTTAGTTTATGCGCATCTACGATTTTAAAGTAGTCAAGCTGTATTAAACTCTGTTAGACTTAAGTTTGACTTCTTAAAAATGAAAAATTGAATTTGAGATCGATTCATTTATACTTTATAATTAAAAAAATTATTAATCATTTACAAGTTTAAACTCGTAATTTGAATTCGGCTCATTTATTAATCAAATTCGAAATATAGATTCGAGCTCAACTTAATAAATTTATAGAACAAGTTTAAATGAGTTTTTTTTTTTTTTTTTAACTATGTTAAGTGTTATTTTTATAAATATGTTTAATATAGTTTTTATTAGGATTTTTAGTATTTTTAATGACTTTAATTAGTTTTTATTTAACTTTATTTATGTTTTTATTTAAAGTTTCTTTGAATTATATTTCATTTCCTATTAAGGAATTTGGCATGATTTCCCTACAAAAGCACCCAAAAGTGATTAAAAGTTAATTAGGCCGCAAACATTCAGCAAAAAGCATACTCGGGCCATGCTACCCAGCACCTCCGTGC